TAAATAATTCATTTGATCAAATGTTAGCTGGCTAGAATTTTTTACCATATTCATCAGCGTGAAAATGAATTTCTATAATACTAAAAATTTTTGGAAACAAAATTCTAATTGGCCAATTTAAATTTCACGCACAACGTTTAGCAAAATAATAAAAAACCTCGATTTTTAATGAATTCATACAAAGTATTAGTATGTTATCTGTCTACTAAATTATTAGATAAAAAATTTATTCAAGTTTTTAGCCGGCTAACATCACTATTTATAGCACTTCTCAAAAAAAAAAAAAAAAAACGCACATAATAACCACACCCGAAATTTCACTTATTTGTATGCAATTCAACACTTTGTGGCCGCCCATTATTGGGTATAACAGCTTCTATTCTTCTCGACATACTTTCTATTAAATTAATATAAATATTTCTAGGAATTTGATTCCATTCTTCATGTAAAGCGATCTCAAGTTCAACATTATTTTTAAATTTATTTGGACGTTCCCGAATACGGATTTCTAATTGATTCCACAGATGCTCTATTGGATTCAAATTAGGAGATTAACTTGGCCAATTTTTCAAAATTTTAACTTTTTTGTTTCAATCCAATTTTTGACAATTTTTGCTTTGACATTTTTTAATTTTATCAAAAATTTCAAAAATTTCAAAACAATTTTTTACAAAAAAACTTGTATAAAAAACATATGACGTAATTTTTCAGAATCTAATCTTTCATATGTCACGATTTCAGGTGTGGTTATTATGTAAGTTTCTGAGAAACTGTTTTTTTTTTGGCAAACTACAATTTTCAGAAGATTTTTGGTTGAACTTTTTATTTTTTTTAACTGTTATTCTCCCAAACATTACAAAAATTTGAAATTTTGCATACATATTCTTGCAAACTTTGGTCACAATTTGATGAAATTTATTTGTGTTTTATTATGTACGTTTTTGCGTAATTAATTATTTTGTAGTGACCGAAACTTTTGTCCAGGGAGTGTATCTTCGTCAGAATCTAATTCCGGTAACATTAGTAAATGATCATCACCAAATTCAAAATGCCAAAATAGTCTTTCATAGTAGCCAAAATTAACTTTAATAGTGGCCAAAATTAACTTTAATAGTGGCCAAAATTATATCCAAAATAATTTGAACTCTTTGATATAATAGCAAAAATTGGGTAATTTTTTTATGGCCATTGATATAAAGAATATGGAGAAGTGTTGCCAAAATGTTTGGCAAATGCAAAAACAATTTTGGCTAACATGTATGATACCAGTAGTAGTGTAAAATTAAAAATTAAACCACTGTACCAATATATTGGTCTCTCCCTAATGTTTTATTATGCAATTAACTATTTTTGTCTAGACAATCACATTAACCAGCTAATCCAAGGATCAACATTAAGGTTCAACCTCACCATTTGAGACTGTTGATCTCTAGGTTAAACCTCTAACCGATAACCATGGCCCAATTTTACTAATTAAAATTAAGGTGAAAAATCAGGGCCTTAACCACCCAATCACCCAGACTCCTCTGTCAAAAGGTTGAACTTCACGTTTTGAGAATGACAATCCTTGAATTGGGTGACATTAACATTGTAATACAATTGTGAGTTTAAATAAGCATGCTTGATCCCTGAAATTCTTGGTAATACCAATGTTCACTTTGACTGGCTTTGTTGCGGCATGCCCATATTATTGACATTTGAATCAAGATGACTAAGAAAGGATTGAACCTCCTTCTTTGTAACAAAATCATACATCAAAACAACAACGACAAAGAAGGAATCAGGTGTTCAAAAGTTCCTAAATGAATTAAATAATGATAATCCATCACCACCATCAGCACCTTTATTGAATAATTCATCACTAACATCAACATCATCAACACCTGAAAATGAATCACCATGTCAAATTCTGTCAATGAATTACATTTGTATCAGGGAATTTGTAATGCAGAAGGTCATGCCATTCATAAGAAATTAGATCTTACTACTATTTGGTGAAGCTCTGAAAAACCGACTTGATTACATCTTGACTAAAAATCAAGTTCCTCTGCATCCATTCATCCTTTTTTTGTAAATTCAATTTCAAGGTTAACAAGAAATGAATGACATTCAACTAATAATTAGTCATGTGAAATTTGATTATGAAATAAACTTAAAGGAATCACTTCATGCTGATACATAATAAGATCATTGCTCATCATGTTCTTGGCTTATCATATGTGGATTTATTCATTGTTCCTTGAAGGGCATTTTGCTTATTTCAATAAAAATTGGTCATCAAAGATATACATTGCAATCGATAGTTTCATTAGGTCAATTATATGATATTATTTTACTATATACATTCTTCAGTTAGTATACAACTATTATTATTATCACCTATTTTTTTTATTTTTCTTTTAAATTCTCTTACTGCAAAATTTAAATGTATAAAAACTTTATTTTATTTATTGAGTAGATTTGCAAAACATTCATACTTTAACGGCTAATGATTTAATTAATAATAATACCAATGGATTAATAAAAAGCGATTTTCAATCAATAGAGATTTTCGATTCTGTAATGCAATTCTTTTTTGTTCTGTGCATTCAATTAGTACAGTTATAAATCCTAAGCAAAAGACAAATATTACATTGGTAATACAGCTATGATGTTAGACAAACATATTTATCCCTGTAATTCTGGCAATACCAATGTTCACTTGTCTGATTTTGTTACAGTATGCCCCAGTTCATAAAAGTCTCAAAAATAGGATTTCAGGTTCAAATCACACCCACTACTAATAAAGCAGATATACTCTTCGTATGGCATTAGAGGAATATATAAAGGACAAACCATCACAGTGATTCGAGAATTTCAAGGTATGGTGCATACTTTCATATTTGTGAGTAGCTATTTCAAAATGCAATGTCAAAAGGACAAAAGAAACGCAGCGAGATTGAAAGTTGGAAATCGTGTTTATACGGCGCAGCATCAGGTTTGTATCATGCATGGTTGGTTGTTGTAATGTTGATGGAACTTTCATTAATAATTTAACAAAATATCAAATATTATTTAGGATATGGAATGTAGTTATCGGAATTAATGAAGGTTTTATTCTACGTGCTGGTCCTGTTAATGCATCTACTTTTGTGGTATTTGAAATGGCAATGAGAGTCTTTGATAAATTATAATTTATTGTGTATTTATATATAATATATACATATATACAGTATATAAAATATAAAATATAATAATGATTAGATTGCAAATAATATACAAACAAATTAATGATTAAAATATAAAAACAGCAGGGTTCAGAAATAATGTACATGTTATCTTTTAGACATTAATTTAGTACCAATCATACAAATCCCAAATGGTATTATCATAATCGTTATCATGTGCATAATCATAATCGAAATGATATTTGTAATCGTAATCATAATCGTATTCATAATCGTATTCATAATTGTAATAATCATAATCGTCGTCATTATAATCAAAGAATATTTCTTCATCTGGTCCCCATTCAAATCCATTAATAATCTCGTACCAGTTTTCCTTCCATGGTATTCCTGTCAGCTCACGATTTGAAAGAATATCAAAATCTTCATATAATAAAGTGTCATTTGTTCTAATTTTGACAGCTCCTATATTTTTTTTGGCTCGTTCCATTACATCATCAGAAATATTTATTTCAGATGCCAGGATTTTCAACGTCTTTAGCGTATTTCCCTGATGCTTCATTATAACATCAATATGTTTATCAGTTATATACGGTAATCTTTCAATGAACAGATATTCTAATCCAGCTTCACTTTCTAAGATTTAAATTGGCAATAATACTTGAGATAATGATGCAAATTTTTAAAAAGCCCTTGTTTTTTTCAACATTTTTTTTGTTGGCCTGCTTTTAATTTCATCAAGATACTTAGTAATTACCTAATATTTTTAAATAAAAAATGATAAAAAACTGATCAATCCAAATGCATCCAATATGATTGATATGTTGCATAATAAATTATTAAATGAATACTTCTTCTAAAGCTTGACACATTTTTACATTGAATTTGTTGATTCAAAATAGATGTCCATCTTGTCTCAATGCATGTTTTGAGACCGCTCCTTGAATTGAAAAGCATCTGGCTTCATTCATCAGCAAGTTTTGACAATATGTGATTCTTTAAAATATTTGAGCATTTTGAAAGTATATTAGAAGCCTATCATGCTCTAATTAAAAAAAATGAGGCATTAAAAATATTAACATTGAAAAAATGATAAATATTAAAAATTATTACTCACCAATGATTGATTTGGTAATCAAGTTCACAAAATGAGCCATGAATACAAGATTTATCATAGATGGTATTGGTTAACAATTATTTCACATCCAAGCTTAACATTAGCACCATTATCTGATACAATTGCTTTAAATTTATCAACTCAAATTTTGTTGATTACTAATTTAATTTCTGCTACCAAAAATTGACCAGTGTGGTGAGTGTTGATTTTTTTGTGGTGACAAAAAATGATAAAATCGTATATAGAAAATGAACCAGGAGGTGATCACCCATCCAATGTTGAATATATATATAAATTCATAGATGTAGGTTAGATATAAAATATTAGTGCAAAAAAATAAAAATTATTATTTTACAATCATTTACCAAGAGTAAGGTTTTCTTTCTCCAACTTCTAATTCTTTATCAATTCTATTATCTTAATCTAGCAATTTCTTTGCTCAACAAGTTGTCTGACAATGTTTAATGTGTTGGAGGAGAATAATTTGATCATAATTCATGTAGAAGCTCTTTAAAAAATGGGTTATTAATGACATTAAATAAAATCCCACATCCAACAAATGCTTTTACCAATGCCATATTGGTTGCATTTCTTTTGAATCAGCTAGTTCTTTGCTCCCATAAAAGTCTTCAATTCCTTGCTGTCCATCAAGTTTTTTTCTTTTAAACGAATTAGTTGACTGAATTGATATTCTGCATGAGATTTTTTTCTTTTATTATAGATTGATGTGATACCGACAGAAATATTTTTTTTTTCTTTAATTCAAATATATTATTATTATTATTGCTATTTCGGAAACAATTCAGCATTTCAGAATTTTGAATTTTAAAAATCAACTTCCGAAATTATATACTTCAGTATCTCATAAAGTGATCTCAATCCAAATACGACCTCAAGGTTGTCTGTGGTAAAACTGTCACATGACTTATGAAAAGACCGACCTGCATCAATACCATTTCTCTCTGCAACTGTAATTTCAGGTCTCACAACCTCATGATAGCCATTTTCATTTTTCATAAGCGCATTGGGCAAATGTTGTTTTGCTCTTCACAGCTGTTCCTATAGCAGCAAAATATAGATGTTTCAAAGGCTCTGCATATTCTTTTTGATTTGTCATGAGCTCATGTAAATTGTCCATATTTTTCATCAGCTTCACTATTGCCTTTTCATGATCCACAAATTTCAAATAGGTTGATATGTCTTTTATGTCATTAGCAGAGTTGGAGTGTGTTTTGCAAAATTTTTTATCATTATTGACATATTTGTCAAGTATTTCTTTGATATTAGCAGATGATGATTTTCTTGTTGGTGAAACAACTACATAATATGGGGCATGCTGCAACAAAACCAGACAAAGTGAACATTTATATTACCAAGAATTTCAGGGATCAAAATTGTTTCTAGTATCATAATTGTTCTAATGTGATCAGTTTTATAATGTCCCATTTGTTAAGTGATATATAGAACTACCCCTATATAAAATAATTAATATGAAACTTATTTACATCAAATCTACCATGGAACCCAAGAATTACAGTACCATTAGAAGTATTTTGAAGAAAGAACAAGGTGAAAAAATTGCTCCTTACATTTTCAAGATAAATGATACTCAGAAACTGGAAGCTTATCTAAGAAAAGAAAGGATTACCTATGAAATTTATCAAGAAGAAAGAAAAATAATAAATGTTAGAAAAAGAAAACAGATTGAAAGTGTACTATTACCCAACAAAAGCAAAAATCTTTAAAAGGAAAATAACTATTGTTTTCTTTAATAGGTGGAATGAATTTCAATTTATACAGAAGGAAATTTCCTCAATTACTTTTTTATTTTCAATCAAGACCATCTTTTAGTCTCTTTGACTTCAATTTGAGCAATTTGACCATTCTTTTCCTCTTTTAATTTCCTGTTTTCTTCTTC